CCGCCGGGATTTGTTTACCCCCGACCCGGATAATTGTGGGAATCGTCGACACCTTGCCAGCATTCGGGCCGGCTCATCCTTACCCTGGAAGAGAGAGTGAGAGAGAGATCGAGAGAGCACGAGAGGGTAAGAGAGGAGAGGCCGACTCAAGGATTGGAAAGTCTGGATGGGAATGGCAACGCGATGCCGTTGGACTTAAGGTCCAGTGGATTTCTGAGGTGACGAGAAGAGGTGGGAAGATGACGATCTGCACACGGAATGCACGAAAAGCTGCGTTGAGAGCCGCTTTTGAACATGATGCCATGTATTTTTGGTTTGTTCTGGAGCGGTAACTAGCAGAGGTTATTAGGAGAAAACCAAAAGGTCAAAGGGGTGAAAGGCTGAACTTCCGGAAAAGTTTTTATCATCACCTCTTTCACTCTCTCAAAATCTCTCGCTGTCTCTCGCTCTCTCCCGCTCTCTCTCTCTCGCTCTCTCTCTCTACCTCTCTCTTTCTACCTGCCAAAAAATACATGCGAAAGCCAATTTAATTCCAAAGCAAAATAATCAGATCCAAACGGGCAATTTCACCAAAACAGCAATCGAAAACATTAAAATCAAAAACCCCGGAACCTCCGAGCCCTCGGGACAGCTGATTTTTCAGCATCTGCTACGCGGCATCTCGGGATATATATGGCTTCTCGCCGTCCGGTGCGTGTAATAAGTCGAGCAAGAGGAGCGCTATTTTCGGGTAAGGGCCCATCCCGGGCCCTTCACCCTCTCCGAAAAAGAGGTAGACCAAAAAACCCGGTTTTTTGAATCGTTGCAACGGTGGCCTCGCAAAATTACTTGAAAAAATCCAAGTAAAGCGTGCTTCACGTCGCTAGTAATCCCTTGGAAAATTGGGTATCGAGAACCGAGCTGTAAAGTCGTTGATCGTGTGGGGGGGGGGGTGCGGAAAACAATTTCGCATTTGAAGAAAAACACTAGAAAAGCCTTGAAGGGAAGACAGGGGGAGGGCAATCCCTAAGGAGCGCTGCTGGTCTCATTTCTGGGCTCATAGATGAGGTCGAAGGTCTACCTAGAGAGAGTGAGAGAGGAAGAGGGTGAGAGAGACAGAGAGACAGAGAGGGCAGGAGGGGGGAGTATGAAGGTTAAACGGAATCGCAGAACGAGAGGCGGTCACTATTTCTTTGAATGTAATTTTTATGTCAAATTCGCCTCTTAGAAGCGATACCTACAAACCACGCTCGCAAACGCCATCCAAACCACGCCTGGCCGCCGGGAAGTGAATTGGGTGATTCTGGAGGGGTGCCTCGATGGCGTTGCTCCCCCCCCCCCCGCCCTTCCACCGAAGGGTCATTTTCCGGGAATTAACTATTGGTAGCCGGCGTCGTTTGGTCGTTCCTGGGGAATAGGTATCGCTTGAGAATGAGGGTCTGTTGCTCGATAACGTTTAAAAGTAAGAATGTTAGGCTTGGGCTTAGGTTTAGGCTCAAGTTTGGGCTTATATGCGTACCTGAAGAGAGAGAGAGAGCGAGAGAGAGAAAGAGAGAGAGAGCTCGCGAATGAGCGATAAATACAAATAGCTATACAGGGTGTCCCAAAAAAAAAGCACCCCCCTCTAGCGGCGCGCAGTCGTGTCCGATTTTTATCGTTTAGGCATCTATCGAAAGCTCTTGAAAAGGCGAGAAAACATGCAGGGTTCATTTTCTTTATTATCTATTTTTATTAGCAGATTTTACGTCCAAAAACCATGAAAACGGCAGATTTACGCGAAATCTGCATGCTGATCGCGAAATTCCTATTGAAAATCTACCTGTTTTTTAGAAAAACGTTGAATATCCAGCGTATAAAAATAAATCTCATAAAATAAATCCCGCTTGTTTTCTCGCCTTTCCGAGAGCTTTCGAATGGTATAAAAATCATCCCGATCTGAGCTTCCCCCGGACCGCTAGAGGGGGGTGCTTTTTTTTTGGGACACCCAGTAGATAATTTTTCCCTGAATTTGCACTCGAAACGAACTCCCCCACCCCACCAGCTGCATTATGTATTCCCCCGAAAATGTGCACGCTGCAGGAGGCGGGCGGAATAAATATTTTTAGAATGAGCGCGGGGTTCTTGAATTTGCAGCCTCCGACCCGGGCGGGCCGCCCCAGTCTTATTTGGTTAATGACGAGCGGTCCGTTAACGAAATTAAGGGTCCACCCCGGCGACCCACCCGTGGCCGGTCAACCGCAAATAATGCGTGTGTTTTAGTGCGTTGAGTCTTTAAGAGGTGCTAAGTTTTATATGAATTGAAACGTTGACGCGAATTTCCTCGAGGTTTTGGGAAGTTGCGTTCTTGACGGAGGCACTATCACAATAATTTAGAAAAATCCATAAAAATTTGAAGAGCAAAGTCTGAAAACCAGCTTTCTGGAGCCTTTTAGAGGCCTAGTCAAGCCAGGATAAAGTAAGCTCACGCTTTCGGCATGATTTTATGCAAATTAAGCCCCCAATTGGAAAACTTCTAGTTTCCGATTGCGTTCAGAACACTATACCACACAAAAGAGCTAGAAATTCCTCAGAAACACCCAAATTTAGCCAGTTGTACGAAAGGATGATGCTATCATCCTCGCAGCCTGTTTGAGCACATAATTACGTAATAATTCAAAGGCGTCCTCGTCAAGCCTGGTAGGCGATAGAAAGAGAGAGAGCACCCGATAAAATTGAGGACGTCTGAAAGAAGCCGGAGCGTAATGCGTGAACAACACGACCCGAAGGGGCCAATTGCATTAGCACAGAAGACACTTCCGCACACTCGTCGAGATGGGTGAATTTGCTGGGAGTGGACTGGATGGACTGTGATAAAGGCGCCCGAGTTTCAGGAGTGGCGCACAGAGGAAAATCAGTTAGTTTGGAGTCCAAGAAGTTCGGAAAGACGAGCTCTCGAAATACTCGGGAAGTGCGAGTAGTGCCATGTATTCCAGCAGAAAAAGCCGGATTGAGAATGAGAGGATGTGGGTGATTGCCGGGTGAGAGATAGAGAGAAAGCGGGTGAGAGAGAGGGAACGAGAGAGAGAGAGAGAGAGAGAGAGAGAGAGAGTGAAAGAGAGAGCGATAGAAAGAGTGAGGGGGGAAGGATTCTCTTCGACGAGGAAGTTAACACCAAATTGCGGAAAAAAACAAACTAGACCATACGAGGTCGGCACGGCTTTGGGAAGGAAGCGGCATAGTTTTATAGTCAGGAAAGGAGTCAGAAAAAAAGTCAGTTAAAATACTGTCTTTTGCTCTCAAAGTTTATTTCTTGGTGCGGCATTTCACAAGGATTGCAGAATCCAGATGCAAAAATATATCGGCGTCATAGCCATATGGCCTTTCCCTCAGACAGGTGAAGCAATGATTGCGCTACATTGGAGGTGGCCGTTGCCATGATATATGAGGTATTCTCGGAACTAGCATTCCAGAAAATGTCAAGATTCTACACCCGGCGTCGGCAGGTGAAGCTGCTGTAGTTTCCATCATCAGGTACAGTGACTGTACTTTAGTTGCTAAATTGGGAAGTAGCAGGTCGATCGAGAAGAGCGAGAAAGAGAGGCAGGTAAAGCGAGAGAATTTGTTTTCGGTAGCAGAAACCATTGAGAAATGTATCCTTTTCGCGCGAAAACCACCCTCACCGCTTCCAATATCCTGGTCATTTAGGCGTTAGAGAGGGTTTTTTGAACCGTAAAAGAGAGCGCGAGAGAGCGGGAGAGAGTAAGAGAGCGAGGGGAGAGCAGAGAGTAGCCTTTTTCCTTCTTAAAATTGCATCCAAATGAAAGCAAATATTCAAGCCACCAAGCTGGTAAAAAGCCAAGCAAAAACGTCACCAAATGTGCGGGTTTTCTGCCCAAAATTGATGCACAAGGCATTGCCTGCTGGCCAAAAGCCCACTCCAGAATGTATTGTGCCGTTTTTTGCGCTCCGCCCGCCCGCGTGCAATTCGAGCCGGCAGCACGGGAATTTGCAAATCTGTGTGTTCCATTTCTAGCCGACCGCCGCCCGCCGACAAACACCAAATTTAATATTTAATGGCGAACCGGGCGGAGGGTGGAGAAATCGGAGCCACCCTCGGGCACCGGTGGACACCGTAGATCGGCCAGGTTTTTGGCGCGGAGCATTGGCTTTTGGACCTTGGATTTGGGGGAAGACTAGGATCCTTGGCCATCCACGAGTTGGGGGTTGGCGCCGCCTGGGATTGAACTTACGGCACCAAAAAAGCACTTTCCGCTCGAAACGTATCCCCAGGCACGCGTAATTACATCTGCGCTCCTGTCCTGCTAACATTAATGTCCCGAGATGATTGTAAGGAATTATTGGCCGATTTTTCAAGGTACCATTCCCCGAAATTTTTGAGCTTGCGAACTTTGTGGTTTTTGTAGCGTTTAAAGAATGAAACTATCAGGATCTCGAATTCGAATAACCCCGAGTCTCGAAAACAAAAAACCTCGAAAATTAGAATTCCCCAAGTCCAGAATCTCGAAAGTTCGGAATCTAGAAAGAATCTCGAAATCAAAAAAAGTGACACTTCGACTCTTGTGCTTTTCGGCCCCATTCCGGTTGACTAAAGCTTCCAAAAATACTACCGATCGACTAGTTCAACGATCCCTGTACCTCCATCAATTCAAAAGCTTTCGATCCAAGGATCGAAAAAGCAAAACTCACGCTCCAAAAAGACGGTGTTAATGAAGCTACTTCTGATCCACTTTGAAATGCCCCTGTTTACGTGAAATTACGCAACCATTTCCAAATGCTAAAATAAAGATCCTGAAACACCATAACTACACAAATCCGTTTATTTCCAAGCCAGAATGAGACACATTTCGAAGGCGGCAGCAGGTGAAATGAACACTGTTACAAGCTACACAGAAGGATTTGGAAATTCAAAGTTGAGAAGCTCACAGACAGGCATAGTGAAGCTCTCGGCGGATATCCAATATGAAGGTCGAGATGAAGAAGGATGAAGAAGAATGAAGATTAGATGAACGGCGGGATTTTTACTCCTCCTCCTCCTCGTCACCTAAATCATAATTTGCAGTTAGGTAAGGAAAGACTGACCCTCCTCCTCGCCATCCTCCTCCTCGGGCTCCTCGGCCTCAGCTGGGGGCTCTTCCTCCGCTGGGGGTTCCTCGGCTGGGGCTTCCTCAACGACCTAGAAGGAGCTTGTTAGATCCACTTAGGCTTAGGTTAGTCTTAGGCTCAGGCTTAGACCTAGAATTAGGTTTACGAATCGGTCTCGATCGTACTGACCTCCTCCTTCTTGGGTGCCGGCTTCGGCTTGTCCTCCTGCGCGGGCTGATCCTTCAAGAAACCGGCCTTCTCCTTCTTCTGAAAAAATGTAATGATTTAGGTCAGTCAAGCTCTAGCAAGGGCTTCGAACGAAGCTAAACTAACCTTCACGAGTTCGTCCAAATCCGTCTCCTTCTTGACCACCTTGAGGTTGGCGCGGAAATCGGCCTAAAGCGATCGGTTTTATCACTCGCCCCTGATAAAATATTAATGATATTTTTGTTAATTCTACGTTTAAGCGTGATCGCTATAGGAATCTTTCAAAGTCTCCAAAATTGAAAATTTTTTCGAACCTTGCCGCCAGGAGCAGCTTCGCCCTTTCCGCTCGACTTGAACTTGTTGTCGTACTTGGACACCTTCTTGAGCATGGGTTTAACGCTGAAAAACCAGAGATGGAGAGAGAGCGAGAGAGATACAGAGAGAAGCGCTTAATCTCAAAAAACTCACAATTTACCGCGTAGATCGTTAACGGCAATGGTCAGCTCGTTGATTTCCGCATCTTTGCACTTGACGGACTAAAAAAATCGGATTACTGTGTAGGAACACTATTTACAAACCTGGTTAATCTCATATTTGCCCTCCTCCAGCGTTTTTAGCCGCTCGAACAGGTCGTTGTAGATCTTTTCGAGCTGGCCTAAAGCGGGGTGGATTTCAAGAGATGATGACAGCAGGAAAAATGGGTTTTGATAATATCTTGCTTAAAAAGAGTCCGAACAGTTTAAAAAAGGGTTAATGAAAGATATACAAAAATTCACCAGAATCGTTGATGCTATCCAAGTCTGGGAGGGCGACAATACGAGAAGCAAGCGCCTGAAAGAACAAAAGTGCTCTCTCTTTCTCTCCCGCTATCTCTCACTCCCTCTCTCCCTTTGTCTCTCCGTCTTGCTCTCTCTCACTCTTACTCTCTCACCTTTTGTCGCTCCTGCTCCTTCATCAACTGCTGCTGCTTCAAATCCTCTGCCGCCTTCATCATGAGCAGTTTCTAAAAATAATTTATCCTTCTTTTTATCATTTCCCTCACCCTAAGCTTCTTCTTCCTTTCCGGCGTCAAGAAACCCTTCTTCTGCTTCTTGCCGGCCTTGCCGGACTCCTCGAGCCGCTTTCGGACCTCGGCCTTCTTGCGCTCGAGCTCCTCGCGCTTGGCGGCTTTCTGAATGTCCGGTTATTTTTCGAATCTTGATACTCACGTCGTCAGCCTCATCAGCCTGGGGCCCGCCGTAGCGGGGCGCGTCCTCGAATTCCATCCTGAAAAATGAAAAGTTGAACACACAGGTGAAGCCGTCACAACACTCCAGCCAACTATACCAAACGGAAAGTAAAACCCGAAGCTGTTGAGGATCACAAAGGCTAGGAGCATCAAAGTGTGCTGATTTTAACGCTAACCCCGCACAGCAGCGAGATGGTCATAGAGGGCCTATAAGTTCGGTCGCTGGATCTCGGTATTTCGACCTACGCGACCTAACAGTTCCGCCATTTGAAAGTATTCTTTGTAGAGGTGACAAAAGCCATAAAAACCAAAGGGACATCCAAAAGCGCTTGGATCTTTACAGATTTTGCTATAGATAAAGCCTAAGACTATAGAAAATCAATCAACATAAAAATGTAGCAGGGGCTCGGCTAGTGATTTAAATATCTTCTTGCGTTGTTTTGATCTTTCTTAGCTGAGGTTTTGATAAAGTTTAGATGCCGAGGTTTGGAAAATCAGGATTAGGGTCAAGGTCGCTTGTGCTCGAGTTCCATGTCCCTCTGAAATCAAGAAAATGGGGAGATGGCTACTGGATAAAGCCATTTAAGATGGTGGTGGCAGAATGGTATTCAAAAGCCGGAAAGCTTAAAAGCTTAAAAATCCGTCAAAAACAACGAAAAGTGCCTGTTATGCTATGTGGAGCTCGGGAGAATGCGCACAGTTGGGCCTCCTTGGCCGCCGGCGGGCCCCCTCCCTTCACGGTATCGGATGTCAACTTTCAAGGTTCTGTATCCTAGACCCCCCAAAATCTCTCTCTCTTTCTCTCTATCTTTCTCGCTCTCTCTCTCTCTCTCTCTCTCTAGCTCTCTCTCACTCGCTAACCCTGTCACTTCACCGACTGATGGTTGGCGTGGAAAAACATGACAGCCGGAGGGGTAGGTGGCAGGTGATTACTGGTTACTTTGAAGGGATTAGGAAGTTACACTACAAGAAAAAGTAGAAAGACACCTTGATAGATATCCATAACGCATTAATAAAGTTTACGACCCCTTTAAAGTACCCAGTATTCAGTCATTTTTGGTTACTTTGAAATCGTAGTCAAACCACGTGAGAAAATTAAGAATATGCATTAATAAACAATTTCTATAGGCGTTCGTCGTCAGATCTGCCAAATAAAGTCCAACCCTCGTGAGGTGATTTTGTTTTCCCATAAACACGATTTATGGGCTGTCCATTATGACTAGCCGCCCAGATGTTCGTGTGGTAGAGAAGGTGAAGGAGTTCGCACGCTTTCAGAAAAGGGTAACAGGTGTAATTGCGGTTTTTTAAATGCAAAGTGAAGTTAGTTTTCAGATGCTCATACCCTCGGCAAGGCCCCGAAGAAACGTTTGAAGGGTAAAAACCGGTTAAGCCGATAAAATCGCGATTTTCTCACCACGCAGATCAGAGGGAGCCTCCCTTGACGTAGTCTATCGTTAGTGCGTATTGTATAACAGTTTGGAACTCTTGTTATTCAGAGTATATATAAATTTCTAATGTCCGTGCGCCCGTCCGTCCGCCCGCCCGCCCGCCCGTCCGTCCGTCCGACCGGATCGCTGCGGGACCCCAGGACCGGTTCGGACGGGTCCGGGAGCCGGGGCGTTTCGGGATTTCGGGATTTCGGTGTATCCCCCCGGGAGGGCCAGCGCTGAACCCCCGCGGAGCGGGGGGTCAGCGCTGGTGTAGCGTAAATTTTTTTCTCTTGAAGAACGTTATCACCAACTTTTCGAAAGAGTTTCGGGTTTTCAGTGGTCCCGGCGTCCGTGCGGTAGCTCATCAGGTCCTGCATAGATCATTAATGCATAGAGCATATCATAACATGCATATCAGCTTCTTGTACACTTATTCCTCTTTTTACATCCGGATCTTATAATTTCTCGATTTTTAGAGGCCTTTTTGTAGTTTTAGTCCGTGCCACTCCGCTTTACACTGAAAAAAGTCGATTTTGGTCATTTCCCAAGCCTCGCTACTTCAGCCTTTCAGAATGGTGACGAGTTTCTAAAAAACCGGAAAACCGAAACATGTGGTTTCACCAAAAATCTACACAATTTATAACCCACCGTTCCTCAGGACCCCCTAGGCGGAGGCCCCACTTTTTAATGCCCACATTTTATGTTCTCGGGATTTCAGCTGTTGCGTCCTCAGGCCGAGGAGAGCCGAGCCTGATCCCCGGCTGATCGATATTGGCCATTTAGTGGCCCTGGCTGGGATGTAGAGGAGGTGGAGGTGGAGAAGCTGAGACTCGAGAGGAAGAGCCGGGGAGGGGGTGGGTTTTGTTGTAATGCCCTGGAGGGGGACACACACCCAGGCGACAGCCCCCGCATAGACACACCCCTGCCAAATGTCGTTTCTGGCCAGGCTGTCTCCAAAGTCTCAAGAAAATGGAAAATCAGGAAACAAACAAGGTCTGGAAAATGGAGAATAAGACTAAAATAGCTAAAGAATAAAGAAAAAAATAAAAAATTCTGAGCTTTCAGCCGAAATTCAAGTTTTCATTACCAAAAAAATTTTTCCTATTAGCATGGCTCGTTAGCTGTCTCCAAATTTTCCAGCAAAAGATAAAAATTAGGACCAAAGAAAAAGTCGTCGAGAAAAGCCGCCAAAATGGACACCTGAAAAAAAAATCAAAAAAGAGCTACGGAAAAATAGATCCTACGGAATCCGCTCTTTGGTCATTTTAAAGGTACTTGCAAGCCGGGAAATTGCTACGGATGGTCTGTTTTTACAGGTATCATTAATGCGCATTGGATTAGCAGCTCAAAAGTTGCTTTTGAATGCAAACAAAAATGTGATTTTTCAAGGCGATCTAATTTCAAACAGCCATAAAGCGAATCGGAACGGAAAACGTCCTTGCAAAAAAGTTCTAAAGTAATTGAACGGATGACGTCAGCTCATTAATCATACCAAAGTAGCCTTCAATCCATAGATAACTTTCAGGTCTGCCAGGACTTTTAAAAGAATCACAGAGATCAGAACACTCTAGCAAAAAGTGGGAAACTCGAAAAGTTCCACAAAAATGACGCACGAACCGTCATAATAATCTATGACAGCATTAATGACCCAGGTTTCCCTGTTTTCGCCTTCCATCCACTCTTAAACCGTGCCTTAAAGCGTAAAATTATACTTGGATCCGGATGCGCCCCTGAAAACCATACGCACCAAACATTTATCTGAACCAAACATGAAAGCAGAAGCCGTTGACGATGAAGGAACCGCGGTTTTGGACGCATGTACAGAAAAAGGACTAGAAAAGTGAGGGCACGGGAAATGCATGGTTGTGAGTTTGATGTAGTGATTTAGTGGAGGTTTACTCTTCCTCTTCCTCCTCGTCCTCCTCCTCCTCTTCTTCTTCTGAAAAAAAGAAAGTTAGAACTGATCAAAAGAATTCTTAATCTCAGGTCTATATTATACTTAAATCTCGGGTTCGGTTTAGGCTTGTTAGGCTTTAGCTCTGACTCACCTGGCTCCTCGGCGGCGGGTTCCTCGGCGGGCACCTCCTCCTCCTTGGGCTGCTCCTCCTTCTTCTCGTCGGCGGCCTTCTTGGCGGCCTTCTGGGCCTTCCAGTCGGGCTTCTGGTCGGCCTTCTTCTGAAAACAAATCTTTAAGGTAAGTAACGTCCACATCTCCACGAAGCCACTGCTAAAAATTTTTCAAAAAACTTTCCAAATCCTTGAAAAGATGCTTAGAAACAGAAAAAAGAAACAAAATCGCACCTTATTGGCCAACTGCGTGAAGACGTTTTCCTTCTTGACCGTCTTTAGCTCCTTCCGGAAGTCAGCCTAAAAATTACTGCTCAGAAATTTCAAAACTGCACTTACCTGTCCCTCGGTCTTCTTGATCTCGGCGAGCTTCTTGAAGCGGTTGTCGTACTTCGACACCTTCTTCAGGGTGGGCTTGACGCTGTAAAAATCGTAATAGATGTCAGAGGGTAACTTAGGTACTATCAATATTCGAAGTCCAAAGATACTTCTCAAAAATAAACTTAATGGCCTTAGAATACTCACAATTTGCCTCGGAGATCGTTGACGTTGATCGTCAGCTCGTTGATCTCGGCCTCGGCGGATTGGACGATCTACAAATTGCGGGTTTGATGCTAATTTTGATCTTCTAAGACGTCGAGCAAGTATAGTAAGCTTTGCGTAACAAAATGGAGCCCACAACTCTCAGCTGCCAACCCAAGTTACCCGCAGAAAACTTTCTGTTTTGGGTCCAGGTGATTGGGCGGGTGGCTGCCAAGATTGACAGCTGACTACCGGGGAACTGGTTTTGGTCAGCTGGATAAAAATGGCAGGGAGAGGAAAATGTTCTCTATTTTAAGCAGCTAACCCTAAAAATCGTCAAAAAATATCAAAATTTACCACAGTAGTTGGAAATTCAGGATCTCTATGAATCATGCAAAATGTTTGTATTTTCTTTGTCTGACAGCCCTAAGGTTTTCGTTTGTGGCGAGATAGCGAGCGAAAAAGAATGCTAGAAGCCTGAGTGTTTGAGAGGCTTGGAAGACGAGCGAGAGAGCGATAGAGATAAGGAGAAAGATAGAGACAGAGAGACAGAGAGAAGATTTCAAGTTCAACATACCTGAAGGATGTCGTACTTCTCCTCTTCCAGCTTGGTCAACCGGGAGAACAGCTCGTTGTAGTACTTCTCGAGCGTGGCTGAAAAATCACAATACAAGCTTGGATAGTAGGTATTAAAAAATCTTCTTTAACCCGAAATTTTATTTTTAAAGTGAAAGCTTGAAAAAATACCGTGATCGTCGGTGCCGTCGATGTTGGGGAGGGAGACCGTGCGTTCGGCGAGGAACTGAAATACAAAAATAAATTTGTTCAGGACCAAAATTGCTGAAACACATCTCCCCATTCCTTTAAATCCCTAAAATATTTTTCTTACCTTTTGTCGCTCCTGCTCCTTCTTCAACTGCTGCTGCTTGAGGTCCTCGGCCGCCTTGGTCATGAGCAATTTCTAAAAAAAATGGTTGAGGTTGGGATCTCTCTCTCTCTCTTTCTCTCTCCCTCTGTCTCTCTCTCTGTCTCTCTCTCTCTCTCTCTCTCTCTCTCTCTCTCTCCATACCCTGAGCTTCTTCTTCCTTTCCGGCGTCAAGAAACCCTGCTTCTTCTTCTTGCCAGCCTTGCCGGACTCCTCGAGCCGCTTGCGCACCTCGGCCTTCTTCTGCTCGCGCTCCTGGGCCTTGCGCTGGGCCTCCTGAAAATTGGCATGTATTGATAAATAGACATTTTCAGTAAGCAGATGATCAAGAATTTTCCTAGCTTTAAAACTTACGGACTCCTCCTCGCCCTGGGCGCCGCCATACCGGGTCTCTGGTTCGAAATCCATCGTTGGAGGAGGACAAACTACCTGAAAGACGTCGAGGGTCGAAGTAAACACCCATAAAATCAATAGCGAAAAGAAAGTTTGTCCGATAAAAAAAGCTCGTTCAATGATAATAGGAAATTAGAGAACACGCATTTACAAATTTTATAAAATCCCACGTTTCTACAAAAACTTGACGAGACAAAGAAGACGGAGTTGAAGACATAGCGGAAAATCTAAAGAAAAAACTAAAGCAAGAAAACAGAATTGTAAATAGGAATAACAAAAAAATATTTATCGAAAAGAGCGTTGAAGACCGTTTGAGAAAATCGCGGCGAATCCTGGCTTTAATTGGAGGTTGAGGCAAGATTTGATTTGTTCAAAGCTGAAAAGCATTATATTCGGGTAAAAGGACGCCTTGGATTCGCTGGAAACTCGAGTAAAATGTTTTCGTTACTATCGTGTCGATATTGGGGCCAACAACCCACCCGGCCACTCGGATATCTGCATACCCCCTGGGCCATTCCCCCCCGCCCGGGTGACGCGCGTAGTGTAAAACGTGATCGGGTACTCTGAGGGTGGGGGGTTTTCGATTGTCCGGGTGGCGGGGAAATGATTGGAAGTTCAAATTCCATCGAATTCACGTTAATTAGGAGGGATTACCTAATCGATAAAATATTATTAAAACGCCACAGACGGGCATTTAAAGTTACCGGGAATGTAAAACTAGACCCTACGCTGGGCGCCGGCATCTTGCGACGCTGCTCCATTAATGTTCGTGCTGGGCTAGTGCAATGCGAAGACTTACCCAATGAGGGACCCTTTTTTCTGATGAACATCGACATTCAGATGGGCAAAGTGAAAAATCGGAAAGTTCGAGTTCAAGAACTAATTAAAAATCGGAAATCGGTGTCCAGATCGATCAGTAAGTGGTAAATTCGCTTAAGGATCTCACGTTAATGATTTAGCCATAAAGAGTGCCCTTGAAACCGACGAAATTACAAAATTGTACAATTAACACTGCAGGCGGTTCATAATAGTTGCTAGGTTGGTGCCGGCACAATGACCGTCAGAGGCTTAAGAGATGGCGCTACAGTAAGCCAAAAATCAAAAACCCGCCATAGCGAAGGTATCGTTGGGAGCAATGAAGTCATGTCATTAGCGGAAGCGTGAGTGAGGTATCAGACGATGAAAGTGCCCTTTTGGGCATAGACCCCGTCTATTAAAATTACGCCTAGACACCAGGCGAAAAAGATATACACAGACTTAATTTGGCACTGGAAGGATGATTCTCACGCTCGAACGTGCGTTTTAATGAAACAAAATCAGTAAGCTGGTCCTAAAAATCGAGCTGGAGTGTAAGCCTGTTGTTGCGATAGCTAGCCCGGTCCTCCCTGGTCTTGGGGGGCAGACAAGAGCCACCTTGTGTTTCTTTTTTGATCGAATTTTTGATCGTCCTCCACTCCCTCGCCCACCCTGGGGGCACTTTCAGCTCCGCCCACTTTTATTTCGAGGAGGTGTGTGCGTATGTGAGGGCGAGGGGGACTCTGGCCCTTTAAATTGATGGGGACAAAAGCTGGGAGGCGAGTGGGAGAGAGCAAGAGAGAGCGAGAGAGAGAATGAGGAGAGAGAGAGAGAGAGAGAAAGAGAGAGATACAGAAAGCCTTGGTTGGGGGTGGGCATCAGCGGTTACTCGCTTGGGGTGAGAAACAAGTTGATTGGCAGCGATTGGCAGCGGGAATTGGGCCAGAAAAAGTAGATCACTGACCCATGAACGAGGCTCGAGGCCGGTGGAACCCGATTTTGAAGTAAAAGAAACGTGTCAGGCGCGATTTCAAGTTGATAATTGCGCTACAAGTTAAAGAATACAGGAGGAAACATGAGTTACGAAAATTTTTAAAAAATGAAATTTTTGAGGATGAAATTATAAAGTCTCGAAGTCTCCGAAGTCTCGACGATGCAGTCAGGGGCAATCATGAACTGGCAACATAACTTTTTCTCTATCACTTTTCACTTTTACCACTTTTTCTCTGCCCTTTCGCTCAGGTAAAAAAATTGTGTTGAACCTTGTTTCAACCTAGTTTTGTACGCAGATTCCTAGAGCCATAGTATGGCTCACTCTGAAAAAAGGCTTCGAGTTCTGCTCTCCATGCGTAGTCAGCTCAGGTCCCTAAGTTTATCAATCCCCCTAAAATCTCGTATCCATTCTTCCCAAGTTTCCGAGTCGTTTCCCAATCCACAGCCCCAAGACTGACCCTAAGGTTAGTCCCGAATACCAAATGAAGCGGCGTTACGCGCGGGTAGCCGACTGCCAGGTAGCAACTCTCGGGTTACAATCATCGAATCAGAAGGCGCGCGCCATGTACACCCGGATAATTGGGTACCTTGCTGGAGTATCGCCCGAGTCTCGCCGGCATTCCCTTACAAGTCGTCATTCCCTGACCCCATACTGCGTCCTTCTTGAGACTACGGTGGCATGGGTCCGTTTTTAGCTTTTTCTTAAAACTTTCAGCTATCCTTCTAGTTCGCTCGACAAATACCGAAGCATTATGCGAGATTTGTGGAGACCGATCTTACGGTCGACACTATGGATTGTGGACGTGTGATGGGTGTTCGTGTTTCTTTAAGAGGAGGTAAGTCTTTGATTCTATAGTAGTACTGTAAGCTAGCTCAACAATGACAGTATGTTTGCAAACTAAATTTGTTTTTGAGATTCGCATGTTAGTAAGTTTCTATATTTTTGTACATTATGATAACCACACTGTACTTTGAAGACTATGAAGTGTTTCGCAACATTCACTTCCCCTTTGAAGTTATAACGTTAATAGCTACATCATTTTCAGTGTCCGCAAGAAGATGGAGTACAAATGTATCAGTAAGTTTTTTTCATCGAACTCGATATTAGCTGCTTAGGCCGGCTTAGGGTTAGGCTTAGACGTCGGCTTGGCTTCAAGCCTAGGCCTAGGTTTAGGAATACAATTTAAATTACTATTTCAGCGGGCGTAAACGATTGCGCAATCGACCGTACCCGCCGGAACTGGTGCCCAGCTTGTCGATTGGCTAAATGCCGACTTTTGAATATGAATGCTGAGGGTAACGTTTCAAGTATTTGTCGCCTTACGGCTCTAATTCCAGCTGTTCAATCAGAACGTGGCCCTAGGAAGCCGCCAAAGCGATTAGATACTGTTCTTGGGATCCCGAGAAATCGGGTGACCCACAAAATTTCTGAATCCGAGTCGACAGCTTCATCCTCGAAAGATATGGAAGAGAAGGAGACCAATATTGGTAGGAACTAGTTTTGCATCTCTCCTGATCTCGCTCTCTTTTCGCTCTCTCTCTCTCTCTCTCTCTCTCTCTCTCTCTCTCTTTTCATTTGGAATTTCAGCACCTTCTATCTATCGAGTTGCCCTCAGCAGCGCGTGGGCGAGCTCGATCTTGGCATTTTCGAGGTTGGAGGTGAAGACGGAAGGTATTTATTGTATTTTTAGGTGATTACTTACGACATTCCAGTTTTGACCAGATTCCACAAACAAATCGCTCTCCTCTTCTGTGCCGCCAATAAAAACATATGGGATCAGAGTGTACGTCAATTTTCATAGGTCAAAGACGAAGCTCCGGCTAAGACTTAGGCTTAGGTCAGACTTAGGCTTGGGTAGGCTATAGGCTTAGACATACGCTTATCTTACTTAAGGTTAGACTTAGGATTGGGCTTGGTTTCGAAACATTCAAAATTCAGAACATCACGCTAGAACTGGAGCCGTTAGACCTTGATAGCGAAGAGCTGCGACTTGGGCTCTGTTACCTGTTATGCCTTCTAGGTAAGCCTTGCTTAATTTTTCTTTACGTATCATAGTGTACTTGAGCCTACCGCTAAGTTTTGTACTTTATTTTTTAGGCCGATCCGGCCCAATATTGGGATTCGCTTATCCGCTGTCCGGATGGTACAAGTCCTGGCTCCAAGTGCACTGCGTGAAAGCTGGGCAGCCGGATAGAGCATTGAAAATTTCCGAGTTGGTCGAGAGGGTGCTTGATGGGAGTTATACGGTATTCTAATTGATATTGTAGTATCAATGTTTTTTAGAACAACCTTCGGTTCGAGGCAGATTTTGGGAAGCTGATTCAAGAGTTTCGAGACCAGATTTGAGTGAAAACGATGGTGATTGCTGTCGTAACTGGATGCAAATTTGAAGCAGATAAATATATCGCTTTGGCCTTGACAATATCCATTTTATCTACTATTTTAACGTCATAAAAATACCTTGTCCATTTTCATCTCGTCAATGCAAATTTAATGTGGAAATTGGATAGAGATTCTCTGAAGAAGAAAATGAATTTTGCACTTTAGATAAGTTTGGGAATTAAAACTGTGATTTTGTACATTTCATACATTTATTATCTCCCAAAATTCTCATTTTTCACCTCTTTAAGTACCGGAAAAGAGGTAGGCTTACTGTCCTCTTGTCCATAGATAAATGGATAGTCCTCTTCGTCTTTTTTCTGGGTTTTCTGACTTATTCGATCTGCATAAAATTCATCTGGGGCTTGATAGAACCTCTAAACACCTCTTAGTTTATTCTCCAAGTCCAAATTAACCTGATTCCTTTGCTGCCCCACTTCCGCTTCACTTTTCTCAACTTTGCACGAGCATAGGCATTGACCATTGATGATTTCACCTAGATTTTTACAGCGTAATTGAATATACCTACCATTTCTAATCTCCATGGCTTCCCTGTTTTGCCCATTTAAGGTATCCTTAATACCAAAAATTGATGCGGCATCGGCGGAGAGTCCGGTAGTCAAACCCTCGCTCCGTGTGGCTATACCAAGTTTATTAAATTCTGGAAAGCACGAATTACGGGCTCTTCTCGGGTAGTTTTCTGGTGACTGAATCGGCTGGCCTCTGGCCGGAAGTGGAGGGCTTTCCCGGCTTACACAGCTCAGCATGGCTTGCTAAAATTAAGCAACTAATATTACCGTTTGAATAACGCTTGCAGAACTAGTAGCCAAGGTGCTAAATCAATTTGGTGTAGATTTTATATGTTAAAATATAAGAACCTACCACGATCTGCTTGTCAAAATTGTCCCTGGCCTGACAGAGGCAACCCCGTAGCGTTCCGGAATCCGTTCGTTGGCAGATCGTACGCGTTCGTACCCTAAGGTACGCCAACGTCATTTTGAAATCTCGATAAATTAGTAAATTATGAAACTTAAAATGTGGCGCCATAGCAGTAAGATACTGTTAGATGTCAACGGGTGGGTGTTATATTAAGTAGCGGTTAAATCAATGAGCAATGGAAGTTATTTCCGCATCAATAAATCGCTCTTATAATCTGGTACGATACAGTAAACTTACTGCTGTATGCATTGGCGCATTATGTAGTCCCTTTGAGCGATCAGTTGCTGGAAGTCCTGACTCGATTCCAAGGCATTACGATAACACATCACTTCGTAGTCTTCCACTGTGCAAGAAGAGGCTAGATTGTTTCTAAAAACTTTTTAAAAATATAGGTGTTTGATTTCCAGGCAATAATTGTGATAAACAATCAAATTATAAAGGTCTAGATCCACCAATCAAGAAATGTTATAAAAATTTGTATTGCGGTAATATTTTCTTACAATTTTGGATCCAGCGATCCGACAAGCCGACCGATGCCACTTCCAAAAATCCGAAGCGCCGATTCCTTAAAAAATAAGCTATAGAATTTCTAAAACTTTTGAATTGTTTGCTTTGAATTCATTAGCAGTTTAAATTTATTACCCTCTCCATACAAGCAACCCCAGAATCCAGTCCACTTTGAGTTCCTTCGCTCAATCCCCATAACCTATCCGTCATCTCCGTGGAGTAGACGATCTTTGCGTAGATGGCATCGACTAATTTTTGTCTCTTAGATACGTTTTGAATGTAAAGTACCATCAATATAATATTGGTCATGCTCTGAAATCATGGCCATTAACGGATTGCGAAGAAAACAGGAATCGACAGTCGCCCGATACCGATTTGCGGCCTCGGAGAAGTTGTCATACGCTGAAAGTGGCTATTCGATAGAGAGAGAGAGAGAGAGAGAGAGAGAGAGAGAGAGAGAGAGGAGAGAGGCGACCTTATAGTCCTTACTTTCCAAATCCCCATTAAAAGGCGCTCGGACAGCGCGCAACGATTCCCGAAAGCATCGATTATACGCCATTCTTTCTTCATGGCACCTTAAAAATTCAGAAGCTAAATATTATTTAGCATTCTCCTACGCTGGTCGCTTAAAGCACTGCTGAAAGGCGGCGTCCTTAATTTGCATAATGTCCTTTTCGTATTCTTCTATAGCCACGGCACATCGCTGGATCTGATCGGCGCAGTAGAATTGAGCGTGGATCTGGAATAGACAAATTTTATGGTAATCTTTGGAAGACGAATTGTTTACGTCTATTCACTTACGCAATCAAATCCGCAAACCAGCGTAATCAACAGTCGAAGCAATCCGAATTTCATGTTGTGTAGAAGCCGAGGAAGTGGAGACCTAGTTTCGATATTTGCATAATGGTCTACTAGCCCTCGCCGCTCCTCCTTCCTGTTGCCCTCCTTTTTTAGGATTCGAGTGTCTGTCGCCCCGGTTCTATACAAACGACCAGATGTAGGTGTCAGGGGAGCATTGTGTAGCAGGGCCTTGAACTTGGCTAGCTACTTGAGAGGTTTGGATACGTCATAACTTGAAGCGGTTAGTCGACCGATTTTCATGCTTACTGTTGCTGTCTCCCTTCATCACTCTCACTCTCTCGCACTCTCTTTCTCTCTCTGTATCTCTCCCGCTCTCTCTCGCTCACTTTCTCCTTTCTTTTTAACATCTCCAAAAATCCATTTATTGAGCAAAAATTCAGTACAAAAGGGGAAGGCAATCTCGAATAGGTGGGTCAATTCTAGGGAGGCGGGGTGAAGAACACTTTAATGAAGACAAGGAGGGAGATGACGACGGCTTGCACCGTCTCCAGCATCGATATGAGTGCGTGGTTAACCGTCTGGGTTACTGTAGAGTGGAGCGGGGCTGAAAAAGGGGTGCGGTAACTTTCGAATTTTGTGGAATTTGACACAAACTTTAACTAATACTTTTACTGCCACTGCAACAATTTAAACGTTTTTTGAAGCTCATTTTAATTAGAGCCGGAATCGATTACGCTACACTACAGCTGACACTACTGTCTAATATAAGGGGCAAATCTTAAGTGTTACGCACCCTTCAAAACCCACGCTTGTTTGTTTCAAAATTGCTGCGTATCGTCAAGGGGTGGGGGAACGGGCAACGGATCAGAGGCGGTTACGGAAGGTCCCGGAAGTCCGCTACCGAAGAGGGGCTTCTCCTGAAGATCGCAGTAATGTTTCTTTTACTTATCCAATACGACCAATATGCTCAAAAAAGCGTCAATTTAGAGGCTACTTTGCACAAGTAATCACTCAAAAACTCTAAAATTTCTTAAAGGGACAAGCAAGACCAAAAGAGCCGCGCGTGTGGCTTTCGATCGCGTAACTGATTTAGACGTCCGCAGATTGGGCTATCGGCCTGTGCGGCGTTGCGATGCGACAACAAGTGAGAATTCATGATTATGCCTTGCATCTATTTTTAAAGGAGCCGGAAACCAATACTATCTAGCCTTTTCCTCCCGCTAAAAAAAGCCTCGCAAACATGCGTATGGTCAAAAAAGGTTACACAGCCACTCAAACTCACCGGTTGTTAGGCCAAACCTAGATGAAAAGAATTTTAGTCGGATATTCACAACCAAAAGTCAAATTGAAGTGGAATTTGCCAAGTTAAAACATTTTTAGGGTGTTATAATCGTCAGAAACAAATTCTAACTACAAGCTTACATGCGTGTAGGTGAGTGGGGGCGCCGTGTTGATGGGTGCTCGCTCGGCGCGAGCCATTGAGGGCCTAAAACTGAATGCCAAGGTCCTTTAACGTTTCGATACCTATGCGGACTGTCGACACCCTCCAGCTTGCCGTACTTGTTCTTCTGGGCCACCTGGTAATACTGGGGTTAGGGTTAGGAGGTGTTGTTTAGGGGAAGAAGTGGGCTTACCTGGTAGGCGATCAGGGCGATCAGGGCAACGGATAGGAGGATGCAAAGGGCCAACAGGACCCAGGCGACAGTTTCCCAGGCTGAAGCTCCGGTGAGGCTAAAAATTGTAAGGTTTGATAACTAAAATTTTGATGGCATCACCCCTTTAAAAATTTAGAACAATTACGACTTAAAAATTCCTCCTTTAAAAACCTACGTCTCCAGAAGTGTAGCCTTGTATTCAGGGGACACAACTTTGGTCTCGGTCTCGGTGTCGGTCGTTTTCTTCACCACTACTGGGAGGGCCATCTTCGGGTGCTTCAGTTTGCCCTTGATCTCGTCCTCCACCATTTTTTGAAGTTCCTAGAATATTAGAGGGTGGTCGAGGTAAGCTAGCGGGGATTATTTAGGAGGCCTCGAAGGTAGCTAGACTTGCCAATATTCCTTAAGTCCTCTGAAGCCTACCTTGTCTAGCTTCTTCTCAAGCTTTTGCTCCAACGACTCGGTCAACACCTCCTTCAAGACTTCCTTGGCCGCGCCGTGTCCGTCTTGCTGAAATGGTACCGATTGATGGAGAATTTGCCATTTTTAGACCTTGTATTGATAGCGCTTCTCCATGAACGCCTTCAGATCGGCTCCAAGTCGTTCGCCATCAGCCTTCAGCTCGTTGCCTTGGGTCTAAAAATCGATTATTGGCTGTTTTTTTGACGCCTACTTACCTCAAGTTGGTTGTAGATGGTGGCCAGCTTGTCCTTGAGGGCCTGACGGCGCTCCTCGATGGCGGCATCGCTAGAGAAACGTGCATTTTAAAGGGACATTTAAGGAACGACTAGAGATTTTTGACTATACATTCCATTACGCAATGAAATGCCACGAGGCGCGTTGCATGTGGTGGACAAGGCATAATTTATCGTTAGGCTTTACCCGTCCCTATAAATTTCAAAATTTTCCATTTATTTTTACTCACCTAGCAGCCTTGTGGTTACGGTAGAGCTCGTCGACTTGCTGCAGGTACGCGCCGATTTCCTAGAAACATCGATCGATTCAAGGTACAATAAAACGTCTTGCAAGGCCATTTAAAGTAACTTTCACAAACTTAAGGATATCACGTCTTGTGGAGGGCAAAGTTCTACATCTCTTGACATTAGTTTTCCGCTTATCATTAATAGCCCAAAAACTCACAGCCATGTTCTCCTTCGCCTGCGCCACCTTGGCCTCGATCGAGGCATTGACAATCTGTTTGAACTCGTTGTACTTGTCAGCGATGGCTTGGCGCTAAAAAAAGCTGAAATGAAAAAATAGTTTTTACACAAACCTGGGCGGCCTTGGCGGCAAGGTAGGCCTGTTGGTATTCCTTGGCGGCCTGGACGGCTTGCTAAAGACGTGGGATTTGTAAATGACTAGAAAAAGTCAGAATCATACCATGTAAACCTTCTCGGTCTCGGCCTTATACCGGTCAACCATCTCCTGTTTGATCAGCTCCAGCTGAAGAGCCTTCTCCGCGTCTTTCATCATCTTGTCTTTCCATACCTGCCAGTAAGGATATAGTGCGATTTTCAAGATATCTCGTTCTTTATCCGTCTCTCTTTCTCTCTCTCTCTCTCTCTCTCTCTTCTACCTGCTTCACACGAGAAGCCCATGATCCATACAGCTCATCCTTAGCAGCCTCAGCTTCAGCATACACCTGGTGTACTTGGGCAAGTGCTGTGTCCTCGATGGATTTAATTGCCTTCAAACCAAGGTAAAGATTGGTTTTTGAACTTACTCCTAGATAGTCATTTAGTTTCACGTCGGACAATTGTTCCTAAAGTAGAATTTTTTGTCAGGACTTCATAAAATTCTTACCGGCACAGATTCTGCGGCATATCCACCAGTAGCCTGCGAATTTGCTAGGCAAAAAACTGGTAAAAGTAGTAGAAGGGCCCTCATCTGAAAATCATGCTTTAAGAGAATATTTTTGCGCGAAATTCAAGTGGAAGACCTCAAAATAATTTCTTGAAAAGAAGACGTTAAGCTTGGTTAGTGAGGCTTAGGCTTAGGCTGGGGTTTAGGTTTAGGCCTAGGTTTAGGCTCAGGCTTATGCTTAGGCCTAGGCTTAGCGTCACAAACTACAGCCCCTTTCAAAATACCAAAAATTCAATATCACCCCCCTAAACAAGCCGACCGAACCAAAATATGCACTGATAATGGGCGTGAGCACTTGTTTACTCCTTCTTGTCGGCGGCTCCGAATAAGCCGCCAAAATAGCCAAAATGTGGGTGACGGGCAGGTGTTGAATTTTGATTGGAAAAAGACAACCGGGTTGTTTTGTAAGTTTAAAAGGTCAACCTGAGAATTTAGACATAAATATCAAATACCGCGAAAATTCTGAGGGCGTTCTCTTAATATGGAATCTGGGGACCTATGCTGCTTGACGAAGTGAGGGAAGGAGTGAGGGAGTGAGGGAGAATCGAATTGCGTAATGTCGCTCACGTAAGCCTCCACCATCTCACTGACGGTCTTACTTTGTGCATTAAATACTGGTTAGCTAATCTTATAGCACTCCGATAAACCAGGAAAAATCGGACGTAAACTGGGCTGCTAGAGAAAAATCTCCGTTTTCGAGGCATAAAAATATGACTTCAGTGCCATTAATACTTAGGACGTAATTTTTCAATAATTTTTGATTTTTAGCATTCTTCTCATTTTTACCATGCCGATTACTAATGCGAAAAATGATTCCAGCGGCTATCGCGTCATCAAGAGTTCCAAAAAATGCTTCTGCGTAGGATGTCAAAAGGAATCAAGATGGTATCTTTGGTTAAGGCATTAATCGAAAGATCCCGTAATTTATGCGTTGGGTGAAGTTGTAGAAATTCAACTGATCGGAATAATGGTTAGATAAAAACTTGAATGTCTGCTGCCAAGGCAGCCCACAAAACCACAGAGGTTCGAAGACACTCAACTAGTGCGTCGACGTATGTACGGTACTGTACGTTCTGTAGGTACGACGATATTAAACGCGAGAATATGAGCCTAATTCGATCAAAATCATAATAATTAGACAACCACGTGCGGCTTGTCTGACAGCCAGCCCAGAAATTGGTTGTTTAGGCTTTGTGTTGTCAATAGGCGGCTTCCCATCCGAGGGCCTCGGCTGCATTTCCTTGAGCCTCGTGAAGGGATGGATGGGTCTTATCAAATTGTGGTGTGTAGCGTCCCGCTACGGGAGGATGCTTCTTCACCCCATCAAATGGCCCTCTTTCCCCGGCCTTATGTTTGGGGGTTCTTCGAAAACACGCGCCTTCCGCTCGCCACACTGGCTCCGGGGGACATCAGATTTACGACACCTTACTATTGACGAAGATGGGGAGGGGAGGGGGGTTGATATGGTATGCAAATGAAGAGCCTTAAAAAGGGGTTGGGTTACGTAATTCAGAAATTTTTGGTAAACGACAAAGTGACGCTGATTATTTTCGTGACTGGGTGGGCCTGGAGGTAGTTTATATGGCATAAAAATTAAGCACCTAACCGGCTCGAGGGAATTGCGTAACAAGCCAAAATTCCTGAAAACAGTGTTTTGGAATTGAAACGTGATAATGATTTTCTTTTTCCCTCTCTGTCTCCCTCGTTCTCGTCTCCTCCCCGCTCTCTCACTCTCACCATTCTCTAAAAAACTTAGATTAAGCAAGGCTTGAGGGCTTGCTAGCAGAAATTGAAACGTGAAAGGAACGTGAAACAATCGGTAGCCGAGGGGACGCTAGCAGAGATCCTTTGGGCGATGTGGGAGCAGATGAAGTTAATTCGCTACTTAGGAGAATCTGATACTTGGCCAAGCTATAAGTTTATGCATTCCCTGATTCTGAATTCTAAGCGTCAGCAAGCAGCAATCATTTAGGTATTTGGGGCCAAAATTGGTGGCTTTCGAAACATGGTAGCTGCTCAACCTGTGGGTGTTTCTGGCCGGTGCGACATCAAATTTTTGGGGTCAGCAAGAACTATGTGACAAGGCTGAGGCTTTGGCCAACGAACGCCAAACTTCAGAATACATTTCCTAAAAACACTTCCAAACGCGACGATCTTTCCAGAATTCTCGGCTCTCCCACCTGTTTATTATCTACACGCCGGCGCCGCCGGGGGCAAAGGCTCAACAACAAAAAATAGTTCTGATGCCCGCCGATAAGAGATGCGGAAGCCGGGTCGATACCATCAGGAAAGGGGGGTCCAGCTCACTTTTCGGCTCCTACATTTGATGCTTTATCTACGTCCGGGGGCCACGGTACCCGGCAGCTGATCGTGGCTACACACTACGCTCACAGACGATAAATAAAATAATGGTTTGAAAAATGTTATTAAAGCCGTTATAATGTTTTAAGGGGACCATGAAGTCGTATATACCTGTAAAGAAAGCGCGAATGCCTTAAAATAACCTGTTAGCGGCTTTTTGTGTAGTGTACGGTATCTGCCAATCGGACGGCAAGCACGAAAATTTCGGTTGGAAATTGCGTGAGAGCAGACGTTCAAAAACCTCAGAAATATACTTTGAAGCCTGGTACCAGCCTAATTTTAGCTCTATTCAGAGAGCAGTGTGCACTCCCAAAAAGGACTGATGACGACCAAATGGGCCACCTAATAACATAAGCTCTCAAAAAACAAGTCCCATTTCATGTCGTGTAAGGCTGCCATTAGGAAAATGACGGAAAATGTTATTAGCGTGCATCGCTCATACATCAAAGGTGAAGCTAAAAACGAAATATCATTCAGTGCAGCCAAAATTAAAGACTAAACGGAACTTCGAACATTCCCAGTCCGAGCTTCCGGCCTTATTCGGCTTCGTTTAGGGTCAGTCATATGCTTATGGTTAGGCTTAGGCTTAGGCTTGATCAGAGACGTAGTTTAGAAAAATTCCATTTCCGGCCAACTCCCAAAATGGCACCGGACACTTTTGGAACGTGTGTTTTTTGGGGGCTGACCCTCAAGCCAGAAGTGCCAGAAGTCGCCCCCGGGAGTGACGGATCTTTTGTGGGAGTTGACGCATTTCCGCTTTGCTCCTAATTGCACAACCCCCCGACCGGGGAGTCCATAACAATGTCCGCTGCTGGAAATCGGGATCATGCTTGGTCAGTGGGGTATTTTGAGAGCAGCTAGCAGTTGCAAAGTTGAGCTTGAGCATGTTACGGTATCCATTTCATCTTCAGTTAATTTTAGGGTTACAAAGTGCAAAGCTTTACTATGAACGAAGAGTTGAAGAATTTGAAGAGTAGCGTCCCGTAGACCCAGATTCTAAGGCATCAAGCTCTGACGAAAAAAAACTGATTTCTGGCATTGCTCGTCACTTCCCCGAAAATACGCACAGGTCCTCCAGCCGCCACAAAATTCGATTCCCCACGTCCAGAAGTGGGTTAGTGCGCTTCGTAGAGTTTGACGTGTGTTGTTTGCCTCAAAGCAAAAAAAAGATTTAAAAAACCAGATTTAGGCTGAGGTCTAGGTTAGGCTTATGTTTCGGCTTAGACTTAAGCTTAGGCTTAGGCTTAGGCTTAGAAAAAAATTACTTAGAAAATTTCAAGCATTAAAATGTTGCCTTCCTCAACGTAACGTCAGCTTTATTTTCCCGTCCTCCAAATTCAAATACAAAACCCAAAAAAAAACAGAATTCAATAATCAACATCGAGGGTATCAGAATATCGATGGCCGGAAGAGGAGCGCCTTCTCTCAATGCCCTTCCAGGATAGGCTTCTTGTAGTCGGCCTTTCGTTGGCAAAATTCTTAAGTCGATGCGAGGCCGAAGAGGCTGCCCCTGCCGAGATGAACGTCTCGGTGACAAAGCTGCCGTACTGTATCACTCGGTCTTTGTCCATCCACTTCGAGTCAATCCGTCTAAAAGGAGCTCCGTCAGCGAGAGAGCAAGAGAGTTATATAGAGAGAAGAGAGACAGAGAGAGAGAGAAAGCCAGAGAGAGCGAGAGCGAGAGAGTGCGCGAGATAGAGAGAGACAAAGAGAGAAATAAAACACGCCGACCTGATGTCGTGAATCGTATGCGCTCCGGGTTGTCGACTGTACAACGTCCTGATTTTGAAACCGATCGCTTTCCATTGCTAAAAAAATTACACTTTTGTCCTTCAAAATCTATGCAGATTAAACAAAATTTACGACTAGGTACTATTCACTACAAATTAAGACTACAAACGACAAAATTTTTGTTTTTATTGACGTACCTTATTCGACCACAAGTTCTCTTGGCGCTGCCCGATCGAGTCTACGCATAAAAGCGCTGCTTTCAGCTTGGGGAACTGGTTGTCGAAAATACCCTGAAAACAGGATGTTACCTAAAAATTGCTATAAACACCGTACCTGCATGAATAACCGCTGCGATTCCTGATGCACATCTCTCAAGATGACATATTCTAGCTGATTCGAGTTTGTGAGGTCCACTTGAGCATTGGCAACGTCGAGAAGTTGACATTTTTGAGGTACTAAAATGGATTTAATGTTTAGATTGTTAAAGTAGGAGCATAAAACCGATTTTTGGTGTTTTTTAACGTCTAAGTTATTAAAAATTTTAATTACAAATTTCAAGACTCGTTCACTCTCAACTAAAAAACATATGAAGCAAATTAAAATATTGGTATTTTTCGAAGGGGCAGCGAAGGTAACCAACCGATAATACAAGGTGATTTTGCCCCGTCTTCCATAGAGGCTCTCCAGCACAGGAGACGAGGGTTGATAAATCTAAAACACACACAGAAATTATTCCAATTTTTGTTTTCTCACTTCAAATAACGGTTGAAGAGCTCTTCTTCAAAGTAAGGCCGGACGTCTTCCATCGACAGGCCTCGAATTACGACTTCGCCGTCTCCGATCCACTTCATCAGATCGCAGAGGAGTTCATCGGTCATGAATGTCATTTTCTGAAAATGAAGTTACTTTTTGAAATTGTTAATGAGGCTGAT